ATAATCTTGCATGAAGTAAATTGTTGATAGACACTAGCACGAGCTGTCCTGGGGCAGTATACAGACAATTAATTGAAATAATAAATTAATAAATGTCCATTGAATTATTATGTACAATCTGGCATTTCTGCCATTCCGGAACCAGCATGGTCATATTTCATTCAGACTTGGTATAGCCATTAAACATAATGGGTCATTGATGCACGTATTTTTTTCGGATTGAAAATGACCGATTGGCGTTTTTTTTTTTATTATTATTTTAACAAATGTAGTTCCAGTGTCATATTTCGGTTATGCTTCGACCGATCACATTAAAACTTGACACATACATCACATGCCATATCATAGCATATCATACATAAGAAAATGCAATTGTTTCCTGATTCAATTTAACGATGGGAAAATGACAAAATCGAGCATTTCGGCTATTCTGCGACTTGATATCGGTCATGCATAAACATATTCTATTCAAACTTGTCTCCAGCCTACAATTCGAGGCATGATATAAAGTTTCCCCTCTTGGAATCTTGAGGTAAACATGTTCTGATACAACGAAAATGGCCGCTATTCACAAAAATACAACTACTATTTTCTAGGAACATGGGCTGGAGATCCCAAACTTTTGAAAGTCAGTATTGCTATATGGTCAGGAAGTTCATTTTATTGCAAATTTGGGGTTGTTTTCCCTCACAAGCAGATTTGGTCGTTGAGGATGAAAGAGTCTCTTCAAAAAAAAATTACACTCCAGCACAGATTTATTTCATATGTAATTGGCGATAATTGTTTTTCTTCAATTTCGAATTAAATAAACATTTGTTTTGGTGATGTGTACCAATAATGGATAACATTTAGCGAGACAATTGTATGCATGATACGTACAAGTTAATATCTTTCAAATAACATATTTATTCCCTCGCTTACGATTATCTTCTGAACATTATAATATTCATTTGCACTATTACCGCGCCATCTATGGTTAATTCAAGGCTTACTTCGTTTACAATCTGTTTCCCTTCCAGTGTCGATAGTCGGCCCGGTAGTCGGCATCAGACTACGAATAACCATTATGGCATACCTGAGTGTGAGGGCGTTATTGCTTTGTTAATTGGTATACTACAGCAAGACGTATTGGTTGGGTTTAAGGAGAGGGTGTTATAGCCCTGGAGCCGGGAACAGAAGCCGGAAATAGCCACTGGTGGCGCTGTATACAATCGAAACCTATTGATCAATGGCACTGTAAGAGTGAACGTTATTTACATTCGGTAGTCGACTGTCCACTCAAACGCCTCCATGTTATTAGCATGCGTATGCCCTCAACATCTTACCTATACAAGGACTGAATCAAATTTAGATTTTAAGAAAGATTTTTACAGATAAATTGTGTTTCCGGTCATTATTGGGTCATCTGTGTGGTTAAAAACAGAGCGTATCAATTTGCTGCACATCCATTATTTTCCATAGAAAACCTCATGGCGGTGTTGGAGTGAGCAGTGCACGACCGAATGTTAACAGCGCCCACTCTTACAGCGATGTGGATCCCGGTGATAAAGGGACTGAACTGAACCGGGTAAGGGGGTGTACCATCTGACATACAAACACATGCATATACGCACACCTTCTGGGTGGGGTTTTATTTTATCAACTTACATGTTTGTCTAAAAAGTGAGTTGCAGGGAATCAAAAAGGTGACGTCAACTTTCTCTCATAGATCTCCAATGTAAAATATACTATGTAAATGGCCAACAGACCGGTTGTCCCACTTTTATCTCTGCAGCCCCTAAAATAACATCATGCAGTATCGAGCTTATAGTTTCGATATTCATGGCATGGGGCATGGGGAGGCATGGCGTGGGTAGGGGCGGGGGTGTTCTGCCACACACATACATTCAGCAATAAACCAGACCAGTAGTATTGTATTCTTATTATGGCAGTTTGTATTTATACATAACGGAATCAAACTAGTATCTATAATACAGATGTATGTGATATTAAACATTCTGTGAACCTTACATGTTAAGACTAAAGTCTAGAAACAAAGTACACGTTCGTGTTTACTTTTATTAAACAGAACAAAATTTTGGGTGTGGTAGAAAATAACAATTCCCCCCTCCCAAGCTGCATACGCTACATATGCAACGTTGTTTCTTTAGAGAAAATAATTATCTAAGGGTAAATTGTTCATTTATTTAATTGGAATGTCTTTGAAGTAAAAGCTTACATAATACTGTCACGTGGACTATCAAATAAATACTGACTCAGAATTCACGTAAACCACTGGCACTTATATATAGCATGATACTTGCACATTTGTTGACAATTGATAATCCGAAAGCAATAATATCTCCTTAGATACAATTTGCCTGCCAGGTCCCAGGAATCAGCCGTCGATAAAGTGTGATATCGACGCTCGGCTATTTCTTTGACAATTTCTGCCTAAACAGTTTCTCGAGAAATCATCAATATTTGACCGGAACTAAATTCGTTGTGTTTTTGGGCAAATGTAGACCCAAATAGCCGAAATAGTATTCTGTTGCACATACACATGGCTCAGGCATGGACCAGTTCACCTGAGTTCAACGTATACAATATATCGGGAGTCAACTCGATTCAGGAGAAGAAAAAAACTAACATCATGGCAGTTCAGACAAACAATTGAGAAAAACTGTACAAAATTAATATTACAAAGATGTGGTCAACAAGCACAATATCCAAAAATAGGCATGGTAACAATAACAAAATATATACAAATATACAAATAATTCATAATAAATAAATGAATAAACAAGAAAAAGAAATACATAACAATGATTAACACAGTCTGACATTAACGTTGAATTTCAGATATAATCTATATACAACTAATGTGAAATTGGGGAATTTGTGTAAAAAAAATATAAATAAATAATAAAGTAGTTCTTCTGCTATCTACAAGAGTTTGGAAGAACGTGCTACCCCCCCCCCCCTCGACTCCGCAACGAGTGGTCGGCGCATCTATCGCGGAACTCGGGCGCGGAACAATGTGGGCAGGAAGTGCCGTGCGAGGATACTTCTACAAAATCGGATATGTAAGTATTGGATAAGCTTTAGCGTGTATAGTTTCAATGTAACAATGCTTGTAACGTGTAAATGTGCGTGCGTAAAATATATGATAATTATGTCTAATGAGCTGGACACTTGTGACTTTTTGAGACAAAGTGGTAGTTAAAGCTGTCCCTGCTTTTACGTACAATAATTTCACTGAATCCACACTCTTCAAGAACTTGCAAAACGTTTTCACGCCCCCACATTGTGCCGAGGCCTTTGCCGCCATCGAAATACAACGATACGGGCATGCAATGAAAGAGGCTGATGACATAACCATCGATCGCACGGGGGTTACCAATGTTGCAATTAGGGCGGCTGCTTCCTGCTATTTCTAGCATGGAGAAGGTGCCGCCAGGTTTCAACACTCGGCGGATTTCGTGAAGCACCTGCAGTGGCTCGGCTTGGTCGTGGATGCAGTCTAACGCGGTGACGTACTCAAACTTGTCTGTCCAGTCGCACGGCAGGGACGCTGCGTCGTGAACCTGAAAGTGTATGTTCGTTAGGCTCATTTCTTCAGCCTCGATCTGGGCCGCACTGATGGCGCTGGCAGAGATGTCAATACCGTAGAAGGAACTGCGCGGAAACTTTTGTGCTAATATCATTGGAGCTCTTCCTTTGCCGCATCCAACGTCCAGTACTGTCACACCAGTTTCTGTAATAGAGCATATAAACCTTAAACCTTCTAAATCTTAGAATCAAGCATATATTTGAATCTTCATTTTATAAACAAAAAAATATTTCGCCAAGAAATTAATTCGACATATATACACAAATTATAATCCATAAATCTTACCAAGCAGCTCCTCCAATTCAGGAACCGATCCAACAAAGTCTGTTAGAAGCGTTTTATTATGCATAATGTTCGACATATAGTGCATAAAGTCTTGAAACTTTGGATATTGGTCGTAGGCAACACCTAAAAGACAAAGAAAGTAACATAATGAAATATTATGTGATTGTGCTTGTTTCGGTTCAGCCAACTTACATGAATTCAATAATCTCTCTCTTTTTTTACCGTTATAAAATCGCAACGATTGGGTTACTTTACATGGCCTAGTAAACGAACAGACGTATTATTATTTCAAGGCAATTGTTACGTTCCGCCAAATGAGACTCATAGTTTGAAAGGAGACGGCGCCGACGAGGGTACTTGGCATGAATACGTACCTTGTGGACCATCGGTTTTGAAACAGTCGCTGACCTGGTCATACGCTTCACAGAGCATCGGAACCAATGTTGCCATGGCCGCAATATTGAATTTACCGACCAACAAGGGGAAGCGGTTCGGCGGTACGTGATATGTTCCCATCTCTTCGTTCATTTCCACAATCCGGGAAGCTACCATGGCATGCAACCATTCTCGGACATACCTACGAAAAAGAAATCATGTTTTTTTATCTTTTACTCTGGGAATTTATAAATCCTAACTCAAATTAATCAATAATGCGTCCAGAGCGTTTGTCAGACCCGGGCCGGCACTGAGCATCCATATTCATGTACGTGAACACATTTTGGTTGATAACTAACAGAGAAAGTGCCTTGACCCCACTTCTTGCCCTAACCGTGTACGCATGCAGTAAATGATAACATTATATTATTGGAACATAATTTAAGTTGTACATGTAAAATATAATGAGCATTATTAAAATCGATGATTACTATTAGGTAGAAGTAGTAATATTGAAAAACTATAACACCGTGATCAATCAGGTAACACGGTGAAAAAATGAGGATCGGTTCTATTGCTCAGCGCCACGAGTACTGCGCCTTCGTTATGAGATGGCAAGTGTCCAAACAAAGTGTCAATAAACAAAACAAATAACACGCGGATGACTAGGTGATTCAACCGCAGCCTCGCCGCATGCCCTTTAGCTGGCTTGTGGTGTACGATGCTTACCTTTCTTTTAGACCCAATGATTCGGCTATTTGAACAGACGTCTTAGGGGTGTCCATAACTTCGAATATACCATGATGTGCACCAATGCTAAGAGCAAGTGCCGTTGCTCCACCGTTGATCATGCTTCTTACTCTTCCTGCAAATTGCTGCGTGGACTCGTCTCCCGATTTGCAATTGTGTTGGTTGTTCATCTTCTCGCTGCTCATCGTGTTCGATCTTCGTTCGATTGCCTCGTTTAAACGTATCTGTTGAAAGAACTTCTTTCTGTGCTGTCCAACGTACTGGTTAGATGCTGCGAGATCAACTTCTGGCTGGTTCTGGTTCACTCTCCTCTCTTATGGTGATTCTCGGGCATGGATGGGTGATCATGCTTACTGTATTTATATCCCAAAACAAAAGCATGACGTGGGCTATTTACCGTAATTTTCTGCACCTGTCCATTAGCTGCGTAGGGGACGTGGATGCGTTTTGGAGGGACGCGGCGATAAGCTGGGGAAACTTTAAAAAAAACATTGCACCACAAGGGACTTGTTTTCAAACTTGAGCATATTTCGCTATTTGTTGAACGAGAACTCCCTGTTGTCATATTTCACTTAACAATTTGACAAATAAATCAATTTGAGCTGTCCGTTGACTGGTCAGTGTTTTGCATGTGAGATCGAATCACATACATTTAATGGTGTACGTGCCATGCTGCATATATTGACTTGTGAGTGTTAGTAATTGATGTGTGTACCTCTAGATCTCACAATGATTCAAAGTCTTGTGACACGATGACGTCACTATGAACGTCATAGCTCCCCCACACGTGGGTATTAGATATTGCCCCGGGTGGTAACAGTATACAGCAGACTAAGATTCCATTTGCTAAGGTAGCCCATAATATGCACTTTATTTGTTCGTTTGCAGTCACTCGTTCACGAAGACCAGATAAAAAAAGATAATTAAGAAGTATTTTTTTTTTCCAACAGACGCATTGGAAAACCGTAAACCTCATAAACCGGTATAGTGGTGATCTTTCATATACTAAATAGCTCGCCAGTACTCCAAAACAGCGCAAAATTTTATTATTTTCAGTTTCCAACGAGGAAAGTATTTGCAAGAGCCAAATACTGTTGGTATAATTATTGAAAAACTCAAGTGGCTGTTAAAAATGATATTGAATTATCATCGCTGTACAAGACTAAAAACTCTCAGTGCTATGGTATTCCAACCTTTGGGGAAAAAAAGAATACATTAAAAGAGAGTATTAGTGCACGTATAGTTTTTTACTAACTTGTGAAACAATTCTTTTATATTGAATGCCATTTAATCAGCAATGCTTTTCAATCGCCCAGACTACCCCCATGACCGGTGCTCTTGTTGCTGACATGCGACTCTACAGATCGGAAGGTATTCGAATTACCTCACACCATGTGAATGTGGGTCGAATGTTAAGTGGTATAGTTTTTAACGCCCTGTAACTTTATATGTATAGAGTCTAACGCCGTGGACAATGCAGGGCAGTCTAAAACACTTGAGTAAATACATGACGATATACCATGGCATATATCTTGAACAATTACATGCAAATGGCGTGGAAATGACGTGGAAATGAATTTTATGTAGACCAAAAAATAATTCTCCATCTTGTATGTTTTGTTTGCATACATTTCATGTTTGTTAATTTGATACCATGAACGTCTTATTTGGAAAAGTATAAGAATTTACGAAATAGTTATCCAAAATACGTATCTAATGTCATTTTAATTGGATATTTTGGAAAGCGTCGCATGCGACGCGCAGTCAATTACATGCCACTCGCCGTATAGCAATAAATAACATCTAGGGTGATGCGATTCGACGTCCTCACAAACGAGTTACATCTAGGGTGATGCGAGTCGACGTCCCCGTTTTCGCAAGGTCGATTGTAGTGACCTGCAAAATGAGTTAGTGTATATTATTGGTGTCACTGTTCAATGGTTTGTATCCGGGACCCTGGATTAGTTATTAATTCTTCTTTCGTATGACACACTTCGGTATTGTAGGTAGTAAGCTTCTTCTAACATAAGAAAGTGGTCGATTGATTGATTTGCGTTTTTGACTGTAGAATTGTCAAACACGGTCCTTCCCCACATGAAAGTCGCCACTGACATTAAATGTGTTTCTTCGATTCAGTGCGTCGTGTTTATGTCATTAAACCAACCATTATGATGTACCAAGTACTGGACTGTACCAGTTCGATAGGTATCATGAGTCATTTTGTGTGACTCTCTAAGGAATGTACAGTATGTATATCTGTGGGCGCACGTCTGTTAAGTGATGTGAGGTGATACGTGTGTCTATGTGAGCGGGAGGGGTGGCGATCTTATTTCTAATTGGGATATCATTTTAATTCAATGAGATGATGGGTTGCCACGTGTTTGATAGTAGTTTAAGTTACAATTTGAATAACTGCCATACCTTTAAACCAATCAACATTTTGTTAATTGTTACATCCGGAATGTATTGCGGTATTATTGGTCTCTGCGTGCCTTAAATAATTATGCTGTGATGAGTAAATTATTCATGTACTTTTTAAAAATCCTTTTAACCACGATTCAGTTAATTACGTCACTCGATCGCTTTCTTTGAATTCGATCAAGTTCGAGTTGCAAAATTTGGAACTTGAATTTAGAGGTTAGCCGATGCTTTCGTAACTCGATGTTCGCAACTCGAACAATTCAACTTTTCCCAACAATGCACTATTCTATGGTCGTTCATTTATTTAAAGTAGTTCGAATTCTGTTTAACAAAGGTCAATGTTCTGAATTATCTACATTTTTTAACTGGTTCTTCATTTTGACCTTCTTCTTACGACTACAATCAAACATAGCATTTAAATAAATCTATATATCGAAATAATGCATTTTCTTTAATTTATTTATTTATCAATTCATCACAACTGTACTAATTAATATGCGGGTCACGCCGTGCATTCACGGTAACAGGACGTTGCCCGTATCCTACATTACCAATGAATATCAACGACCGGTTTATTGTTAAAAGCATTGACACATGCTCATATTATTATAATTATTATAAAGGGTACACAACAACGAACTACGAGTACCAGTGGTTTATTTCAATCTTTATTTGAGGTTGCAAGAGCTATTTTGTAGTTAATTTGTGTTTATTTTAAAGCAGAGTGACTCCATGTCATAATGGGAGGGTAAGAGTTCATGCCCCAGATGGATGTACTCGAAGTCAAAAGGCGAACGCCCTGTCTAAGTTTGGATCATGCCGTTAAATGTACGTTTATCATCTACATAAAAGACAACTCATATTCACGGCAGTATGGGTCAGTAATCGCAGTGCACATGTCCTGTCCCAATTCGACGTGGGTTGATAATTACCACCATAAAAGTCAAGGAATATAGCGTTTGCATAAACATACATTGGTGTCCAATGTACACCGTGTATTAATAATTGTTGCTTGTTTACATCTGCATTGGAAAGTGTTACCCTTATATGGCGCGGTTCCCCAGCAACAGAGCTGCGACATGCACTTTATGGAACATGTTATTTTAATTCAATGAGACAGGGAGTGTGATGGCATATATTCTGAATGATAACTTCTTTTATTACCATTTGAAATAATATAAATATTTTCACATTATTTGCACAAAAACATTCCAATGCTGGAATTTTATTTTATTGCTATACCTATGTATGCCGGGCTTCTTACAACATCACCGAACGGCACAACTTCTCTACTTGTATTATCAATGGAGAATACTATTTAAGTATTGCACATTGGCGGAACGCATGTGACCATTAGAATGCATATGTTCTGTTCACTGGCCTGGGCGAGCACTCGCGCGTATAGATTAAAGAAATTCCGTGTCGCTATACTATCTAAAAGCAGGTCGCTGTCCGTGGTGTCCTAATATTGCCACTGATTATCTGAGTTTTATCTTTTGTCCACACATGTAACTTATTCAGAGTTGAATACACAAGTAGGTCATTTGAATATATATATTCATCTAACACTGAATACATATCACACGAAGGTATGTGGGCTGTATATTCAATGTTTTAATAAATTAATAAATACAGGCCTTATGATTTCAATCCATTGGCAAAGTGAACTCTCGTGTTTGTTTTATTAGATGGAACGAAGGAACGAAGTACAAGGAACGGGGTCGCATAAATTAGAACGCTACAGTTTGTTGCTCTCAGTAAATTGCATCTATTATGTAGCTGATGCAAAACTATGGTTAATTACGACTGTATTTCTCAGCATTATTATTAATTAACTAATTGTCTGCTAAAAAGTGTTCATTCGTGTGAATATTGTCTAGTATATACGGACATGAATAGTAAC